AGGACTGTCCCAGCCTTCTAATGGAGTTCCAACCATTGCCTAAATTGCATGACAGGTTGCACAAAAATGAGCCTGGAAATTTGTCTTGATTGATGTACTTATAACCTACTTCTGGGAACATGAATGCAATCATATGTTCAACCATTTAATTTATGCTCAAACTCTCATAAGTCATAGAAGCAAGCTGGGTGTTTGGCATAATATCGAAGAACAATGGTCTACTGTCTCACTTTGTGAAGAACTGTGTTACTGTTTTGGAGCGATTTTATTCTTTAGAGTCATAGAAATGATGAAGCCAATGATAATAATAGCTAATGAACACTTATTGAATGCCAGATACTCTGCTAAGTGCTTTGAATGCATTTTCTCATGGAATCCTCACAATCCTTTGATAGAAGCATGTCTTTTTTTTTCTTTTTCTCTGTTTCTTTTTTTTTATTCAGTCATTCATAAATTGCAAACCTGCCTTGAGTTACTCTGTGCCATTCAAAGACGAATGCAGTATGATCCCTGCCCTGAAGAAGCACCCTGCCTGCTAAATAGGTGGGCACATGAGCTAATAATTCAGGTGCGGGGTGGCTAGGGTTACGGTTAATGTAGTTGAGTTATTGCCATATGGTTTCCTCAGTTGTTCGTAACATCGCTTTCAGCTCTGCCCTTCTTCACCATTCTGAAGTAGGCATCCAAAATCAAGACCTGTCCCTTCTGTTTGAATGCACCTGTGTGTGCTGATGTGGCATTTCAGGTACTTCCTTCTTACTTCTTCCATTTTGTGCATCACTGCGAAGTCCATCTTCCCCTAATCACCCGCTAATCATGTCTTCCCTTTGCTCGCAGAATCTAGAATATTCAGTGACTTACCATTCCTTGTTGGGAGAGAGGCGGGGAGGGGAGGAGAGGAAGCCTGAGCTTCATGCTTTCAAGAACTTCCACAACCTTATTAAAATTTTCTCTTCCCACTCCCCAGTGCGGGCCTATTCTTCTTGCACACTAGTGTACTTCTGGCCAGAGGAGCACTAGGCTCATTTATACCTCCTTACCGTAATACAGGCCTACATGCCCATAGTGCCCATATGGAGACAAACCTTGAGCTATGTCATAAGCTCTCAGGGCAGGAACTATGTCATGTTCATTATTTTATCCATGTCACTAAGCCAGGTAGTCCTTTGACTACAGAAAATGCCCAAAGACAATTTACTAAACTGAGACTCAGATGTTGTTTATTGAAATGCTAAAAAGGGACTTCAGGTCTTTAATAAAATAATGTATACTTGCTGTATGTATTAAGTCCATTGCTTATCAGTACCTTGTTCTCTTTATATGGTAAAATGCCTCAAAGTAAACAACCATAACAGCAGCAAAAAGACTTCTGCTCTATTTAAGACTTCCCACTGAAAATTGGATTGATTCTCCTTTTACAGTCTCTCTTTTATGCTCTGCAGCAACATGACGTAGTGTTAGGATGAAATCAAAACTCATGATTCATGAGTAGCTTTAGTAATTTTAAGACTTAAGGAAAGATGAACATTCTTGAAAAAGCTGAAGATCGAATATTTTCCTGAACATGATACAGTAATAGAGCAAATTCCAAACCTCAGATTTAAAAGGAAACTTTAAGAGCCTCTTTCCTAATCATCATAGATAAGAGGGAGTTGGTTTTTGCAGCTGATATTTAATTAACTCCATTCTTCTAGGGGATAAAAAGTCCTCATAGAAGTTATACGTCGACCCACAAATTTCTTGTGGCTTCAAAAATTGTTCACCACTAAGACTTTCTGTTAAAATGCCATAAAGTAATAAAATCAAGCAATATGGAGCTCAGTCTAGGAAGAAATAAATATGATATAAACTGGCTCTTACCCAACTTATTTTTTATGCTAACTTAATTTTATAAGAAAATACATGTTTTGTATTTTCCTCAAGTGTTTGTGTTGATATGAAATTTACTTTCAATAATAATACATTAGAGAGGATACATTCATTCAGCCATCACTAAATGTTTTTTAAGAGTTCTGTGAATCCTGAACACAAAACTACAATAAGTTAGCACTATTATGATGAAAAACATGGATTTTGTCACTAAGCAGTCCTGCATTTAGTGTTAATTCCTACACTTCCTACCTGTGTAAACTTGGCCAACTTACTTAACCTTTCTGAGCTTCATTTTTTTTTCACCCATACAATCAGTTCATAGTAATACCCATCTTTAGGACTGCTATGAAGATTAAGATAATACATTAAAAGTACCTAACAGAAACCCAGAAGAGGCAATTGAGAATGTTCGTTATCGTTATTATTATTGTACTGACCATTGTAATTCAAGATATTTAGAATTATTTGCACCTGCATTTTTCTTATTATAGATATCTCCATAAGAAAAATTATAAAACCAGTTAAGTTGTATTAATATTAGCTCACTGCATTAAATCTAATCAATCGCTCCCCCTTTCAATAATCTGAAGGTTTTAGGTGACTTCCAGTATGGGAGGAGAGGGCGCAATTTATAAATCCTCTCTGTGAATTTGTTTAAAGATAGTGCAGGAAATACAAGTATATGAAAAAATTAGGAAAAAAGACTATAGTTTTTATAGTCTTTACAGTTTGACCTAGAACACTAAGTGATAGATATTAAGATGACCATGTAATGCATAAATCAAAAGCAAAATTACTCTAATAGCATCTTTAGAAAAGCAACAGTGGAAGAATGAATTGGATGCTAGTAAGCCAGCTAATAGATGAATCTAGATGACGGCAAAGCACCAAACTCTATTAAGAAAAAGCAAGTGTAATAGGAATTTTTAGAGATTAACAGGCCAATCTGGGGACATTTTTATTCTTAGAAAGCTTTTCCTTTTTCCTTTTGAGTCAGTGGACCTTTACTACCTTGAATTAAAGGTGATCTGTGGGTTTTGAGATGCATTCTTTTTCCTATTGTCTACATTTTCATTTAGAAGACATTAATGCTTAAGAGAAAGAAACTGCTTTGTTGGCTTACAACAAAGTAGGTCAGCTCTGAGAGGGCAGAGAGCAACCTCAAGAAGAAGGAGCAGCATCCTATAGAAGGAAGTAGAGATGCTAAAGGGGACCTCGCCGACAGTTGTTCATTATTTGTGCCTCTGAAAAAAAAAAAAGTCACAAACGCTAAATGGAAGACCATCTGGAAAGGCAATTTCCCCCTCAGAGCTAAGATCAGAGGGTTTCCATTCTTGTTGGTGTTGACTTAGGGCAGCAATAGTGAAATATTAGGTGGGATTTCAGGGGACAAGTGTGGCAAATGTCACCAGCCTGTTGCTGACTGCTAGCTGAAGGGAAACTTCCAATTCTACGCTCTCAATAAACACTGCCAAACCCTGACTTTTATCTTATGTTACTGGAAGCTTTGCCATTTACTCTTGTTTCCTTTCAACACTTCATGTGTTTTTCTTACTGCCAAAGCACATGCTTCTCTCATTTAATGTTGTCACCTATCAATGCACATAAATATTGTCACCTATAAATGCACATAAGTCTCTTTTACCTGTGACTGGAATCTTCCCCTATTCTACATGCTCATACAGAACCCTGCTATTGAAAAGAAAAACACTCTTAACTCTCATAATCATTTTGTACCCAGTGGAGAATTTGTGTCATCTGTTACTACCCCATATTTTACCAAAATACCACGTTGTCTTGCATACGGATAGACTACTTAGAAATTTTACTTCCTATATTACATGCTGTGTTCAAAATTACCCTTGAAAAATTCCCTAAATTGACCAGATAATAGAGTAGACACGATTTTGCATATAAGATCAAATTTTGCACTCCATACACTGGATTCCAAAGGAAGGAAGGTCTGAAGTCAGAGTAGTGTAAAAAGAAGAAAGCTTGAATAAAGGCAGATGTCTGGATGTTTAAACCATTCTGTTGTTTTTAAATGAGCGATCTAATCCCAAATGGGGAATTATATTGTACTCCTGCTTCCCTGAGGGATTTACTTCTTTCCATTTTAACACGAATCCTCTGTGATGTTAACAGATGTCATCAGGCCTCTTTGCCCTTGTGAGATGGAAACATCATGGCGGGGACTCCCCTCAGGGATGTAGAACTAGGGTTCTAGTCCAGTGTGAAAACAGCCAATCAGAAAGCACCATACAAGAAACACTGACAGACATTTTCAAAATTTTGAATGGCAGAAATAATTCTTCACTCATTAAGGCATTAAGGAAGATGGGGAGCTCCTTGACTTATGCAGGGTGCATCCAGTCACTATTTTATAAAATCTTATTATCAAAACAAAAACAAGACTGTGCTCTAAATACATCCATTAAATTCATTGCCAGCTTCCTGTTGTGGTCATCTTTGATATCACCCTGAAAAGTAGAGCTTTTTTTTATCAGAGGCTCAACTTTTGAAAGTTCGACCCACATCGTATCAAACATCAAAAGGAAACACAGCTGACATCAATATACCTTTGATTGTAAACAAATACTTTTATTTATTATTACTCTTGGTTTTTATTTTGCAGCTTTTCTTTTATGATTGTAGTCATTTCTTTTTTTTTTTTTTTCCATTGGTAGGCTCGAGGCTGAGGGATAAACCCTAATGCTGGGTGGATAAACTGGCCTTTCTGAAAGAACAGCTCTGTCATTCTGAAGAGCAGTTAGTACTTTTTCCCCTTTCCATGAAAGGAAAGAGTAAAAGGTCTTTGGTTTGTGAAAACCTAAAATTTTCTCTGGAAAGTATATCTCCCCAATCCATAGACTTTCAGGTTTCAGTGTACAAGGTGATTTTTGACAAAATGTTGCTTGATAAAACCAGTCAGCCTAAAATAATTATATTTGCGTTGTAAGACCGGTAATTGAAAATATTACTCTTCTTCATAGAGAATTCTTTGCCAGTCCTAGAAGAAGAGAAACTAGCATGCTTAAAAGAGAATGAACACCTACAGAGGGTCACGGCACCGGTGCCCGAGTTGTTTGGATGAATTGCAAACACACTTGTTTCCTGTTTTTGCACAGCCTCCATAGTGATTGGGAAATGGTGGTGTGAGATGGAGCCTTGTCTAGAAGGAGAAGAATGTAAAACACTACCTGATAATTCCGGTTGGATGTGCGCTACAGGCAATAAAATTAAGACGACAAGAGTAAGTTTATTTCTTTCAAATATCTCATGCATGTTACCAATAGTACTGTTTTGCCTTTGAGTTGTACAAACAGCATCCAGAAAAGCTCTGAACAGGAGATAAGAAGGTCTTTTCCCTGAGAGAAAACATTCTTAACTGTTCATATCAGTGTCCATCCATCAACAAGAAGTTAGCCATTGAACTTGACTTTTCCATACTGAGCAGTTTAGCGTTTGTGTAACTGGTTCCCAAATAAATCCGTATTACCATAGCCAAACAGAAGAAGAGCAGTAAAGCAATTATTCAAATAATTCAGCCAACAGCTAAGGCGCTCAAAATAGATAATAAAATAAGAGTCTTACCTAATTTGTCCAGATAGTTTGCTGAGAAGGGCTACATTTAAGTACAGCCATTTTCTACATGTTCTTTAAAAGAATTATTTGATGATCTTTTTAATAAGTGAAAACTTTTTGTGATGTGATTCATCATTCCTTGGTTTCAGTGGTAAAATAATGAGATATCTTCAAAATATATAACAGCCTATATGGTGAGGCCATCCAACCCATGAGAATTGGTGTCTCAATGCCAGAGTTGTTTGGAAAAGCCCAGCTAGGCTAGCCATTGACCCTGCAGATAATGGATCATGGGAAAGTGTGGGAGTCCTAAAGGGGGCACGGTAGAAAGAGTTGCTCAGAGCAACCCTTAATACTTAAGACAGTATTTATTTGAATGCAGTACAAAACGATGTTAATATTTTAATAACTAGTATGGTTACATTGTATCTATATCATGGGAATCTCAGCCCAGTTGCCTGTGTATGTGTTTTAATGCACTCGATATTCTTGAAAGCAAGCACCATCTGTTACAAATCCCAACATGATGAACTTGTAGAATAGGGTGACTCAAATTTAAAAGGGCATCTCTGATTCCCACTCCCAATATAATGAGTCTTAAGTTGATCTTTTTTCTCAGCATTACCTTCCCAAGAAATAAAATTGGTACTTGCAGCCTTGTGATGCAGAAAACATAATACCTTATAAAACATATCTTTCGTATATAAAATAAGTGGAGACTCTTTGCATATCAAAGCCCATTGCCTACATTAAGCAATAACGGTCATACCTCAGTCGCTTGTGGCCGAGAGAGATTCTTCAGCCATCGTAGCTTGTTAACATGCATTTTCATACCTGAGATGCTCGGCATGGATTATCATATTTCACTTGAAAGAAACAGCCTCAGGAGAGATTATGCAAAAGTGAACCCAGTTCATGACACTTACCTCCAAAAACCATCTTCATTAACTGATGGAGAGTGGATTTCACATTTCCCCTTGGCTACATTTTGCCTAAAACTAATTTTACGAAACAATCTGAAAATGCCCTCAGAAGTCAGTTTTCATATAGTCTGAATTATGGTCAGTATGATTGGAATTCGATTACCATTGTTTAAAACAGGTTGCTGCTATATTTTCTGCCAAAATTCCATTTCCCCTTCCAAATGGTAACTGATCTCCCTTTACTGAATATAAACCCTGCTCTCATGGTTCCTCCAGACCTGAAACTCAGTAAAAGAATAAAAATACAAGTCAGATTATTTCAGGATTTGAGTATGTGAAATTCCAGGGGTACCAGTTGGAGACTCTTTGGAAGATAGAATATAAATAAACAAAACACAGAAATTGTTAATGCTACTTTTTATGACTGTGTAACTTTCTTTTATTTGGCCTCTGTAGAGTATATTTGAAAACATTGTAAATACATCCTAGACATTTTCTTTCCTCACAGAAGTACAGTGCAGTTCTGATCACAATAATAAAGGCTGGAGCACACTGTGTTTGCTACTGTCCTGGGTGGGCTGAATGCAACCCCAACAGTTGAGTGTACAAGAGAAATAAATTGCCCATGCAGTTCGTTTGAAAGCAGAGGATGTACCTGTTCTGATAGGTGCATCCATTTCAAGTGAGGAAATAAGAGATTGCTCTACAGTCGTGTGAGCAACACATCATTCAACTAATAAATCTCAACTCTCTTTAGAGAAGGCAAAAGAAAACACTAAGCTGTACTTTTTACACCTTGAGAGGACTCAGGCACAACTACCGACTTATATTTTCTTCCCACTTCCTCATAAAGAAATTCACAATGAAATAAGCGCTTTTAAACATAAAGGCAGCAATTAAGTGTAGCTGATAAATACAGGAGGTTTCCATTCTGTATAAATGGCATGCCAACACCAGTCCTTAGATCATAGGCTCCAAAATAGATTTTATATTAATTTTTCTAACATGCCCTATGTGTTTTTCCCTGTCACAGTATAAATATGCCTGTATACTTCACGAATTGACTCTGAAAGTTTAACTTTTTAAACAGTTTCTTTAATTGTGTGTCATAGCTTTTCAATGTTCTATTCTTATCTAAGAGGTAATCTTTAGGATAAAAACTTCAAGGTCGTCTCACAGTGAGAGGAAAAATAAAATCATCTCTTTGGTTCTTATGTGTAAGACTGATTCGAAGAGAGTGCTCTCAGAAAAACAAAAAGAAAAAAAAAACAACAGAAGAAACATACCCAGTTTGTTCATGAAAACTGCGAATTTCCTTCACACTGTTGTTATTTTAAAAGTAACTCCAATATGAAGATATTTACAAGATAGAGTCCTAAGATGTCATTTTTCCCTATATTGTTTTTTTCAAAACCTTCCCATTATGAATTACTTCCCAAATAATCAGCCTAATTCAAAATTCTCAGCAGTCTGTGAAATGTAGATAAACAAAAGTTGTCTCAAAGTGTGATCTAATTCAAAGTTTCATGGTACTCATTTTTTAAGGACTGCGGAGAGTGGAAATTCCTTGTTTCATTTAAAGAAACAGGCACCCCGGAATGTGAACTAGCCAGGATAACAGGCCACAGTCTGAAGGAAAACCTTGGGGAAATTAGATCTGGGTGACAATATAACCTCCAGAAGGAAGGAGAAAAGAAGTAGAATGAGACACAGGCTTCCTTTCCAGGAGACTGGAAGTTTCCAAAATTTGAGAAGTTTTCTCAAGTTTCCTTGAGAAGTTTTCCAAAACCCAGCATGGGGCACAATAAAGCTGGTGCCAGAAACCCTCCTGGGAAGAAGCCTGGTACATCTGGATGTTGTTTCATGGCTAAATTTTGAACTATTCCTACTTGATCATTCCTTCAGTTGTTTTGCTGAATTACTTTGTTGGTAGTTTGTGGCAAGACAAACCCATCCAGATATTTACAAGAGATCTTTTCCATGGTTTTACATAAATATTGGTTTATTTTTTTATTTTAACATATATATCAAAAACCTAAGTTTGAGGGGTGCCTGGGTGGCTCAGGTCATGGGATCCAGCCCCATGTCAGGCTCCATGCAGGGTATGGAGCCTGCTTAAGATCTGTCTCTCTCTCCCTCTGCCCCTCTCCCCTGCTTGCATGTTCCCTCCCTCAAAAATTAAAATTAAAATAAAAACATTTTTAAAAACAAACCAAAAAACCCCCCATAAGTTTGAAAGTTGGGGATGCTGTTGGGAAATTGGCTCTGCAGATTTTGAATTTGCCAGTCTCCATAATCAGATGAGCTAATTCCCTGTAATCAATATTATATTTAATGTATATGAAATAATAATACATAATATGCTAGAATATAATACACATTTTTTTAAAAAAGAAAGGAAGTTTGGGATGCTGTATCTAATGCATTCAGGAAGAAATGCATACTCTGTGTATTCAAGAATAATGCTTTAATTTATAAAGACTGGCTTCTCCCCAGAGAAAATAGGTTGTTTGACAATGCTGTAGTAATTCAAACATAAAAAGGAAACATTGGTTTGGGGGAACATAACAGGGCAGGGAATGAAATGAAGAGAAAACCAAAGTCACTAGGAAGGCAAAATTAATAGGTTAAAATAGTAAACATAATCTGGTATGATACCTGGGAATTTATCAAGCTACTTTAGATTTCCTTCAATCCATTATGTTAGTGTCTTTCAGACTCCTGAGAAAGTGAACAGTTAGATATATGTAACATAGAGTCAAGTTCCATTCCCTAAAAGGGCCCGTTAGACGGCCCATCTCACCACAAGGCGATCTAGTCAAACTGATGTTTCACACAAATCCACTACTGTCATTTGCCCACACCCTCCTGGGCCCGTTCTCCTAACGGTGACTCTGACCTTGCCTGTCTCCGTCCATTCTCATCAGCCAGTGTTTTTTATATCACAGAAGGGTAAACTCCCAGCCTCGACACATCCCAGCTTCATCACTCAAAACTTCACCAGGTGTCAAGTGTTGTGAAAGCCTTTACAGTCCTGATGTTCAGACCATTTTGTATAAATGAGCTTTAAGAGAGAAGGGTAGAAGGGGGAGTGTGGATTTGGAAATTTCCAGAAGGAAAAACAGATAAAATTATGCTGTCACAATTGCCCCTGGGTCCAAGTGAACTCATTCATTTCTTTGGCCAATGAGTATATTTAGGCTTCTACTGTCTGAAGTTGATGTGTGAAGTCTTGGGATGTGACGGTGATACACATTTCCAGAATGTAGGAAACCAAGGTTTGGAAGAATCTGTCATTTATATGGAGAGGATAAAAAAATAAGTGTGTGAAGATTTCTCACACAAGCTGCCCATGGCACAACCAACTTTTGAAAGAAAACTTTTATTACTATTCCTATCCAACCTTAAAAGCTTTTCATGGACTCCACCCCGGACCCAGAACACTCAATTTCTAAGACTATAAAGAACCAAGATATGATGAAGAAAAATGCCTATTCCTAGAACTCTAAAGTAGAACCTTCAACTCTATTAGAATCACCATTTCTTCCCTAAACCAGTGACTCTCTGTGCATGCATCCTTTTGAATATTAGAGCCTTTGGGGCCATATTCAAATACATTAAATGGCATCGATAGTTATAGGAGTATGCTCCTGGTTGCCCTTGAGTACTATGTCATTGAGAAGGAGAGTCCCTCACCCTGCAAATGCCTTCTATACTCCTAAGAAAATGTGTTCTAATCTTGGCAGTGACTTTACCTTATTCCGCCCTTCTACCTGTTACAGCAAGCCAACTTGATAAGGTCATGGAATGATCTACTCAGTTCAAATTCTCATCAGACATAGGACTAACTACAGAATATGAAGGGCCCAGTACAAAAATGAAAACATGGGGTCTGTCACTTAAAAATAGTAATAATTTCAAGACTTCAATAGAAGATGATTAAATGAAGTGAGGGGCCCTTTCCAGCACAGGACTCTGTGAGACTGCGTATGTCACATGCTCATGAAGCCAGTCATCGTTATTCATTGCTCCCAGAGTCTATTTCCTCAGCTGTGCCAAAATAACTTTATGAATTGATAAAAATATGATGGCATGTCAATGTGCTTTTTTAAATCACCATTTGAGGACTACAGTTGTAGACTAACATTTGTGGCTTCAGATCGCTTGAAAGAAGCAGCATACTAAAAATTCAAGATGTCCTCATTTTCTACTTCATCACCTTTCTTTATGCCTTCATTTTGTTCTTTTCTCCCTGAAATTTCTTTCTTTCTTTGATTTCAGATTCACCCAAGAACCTAATGGAAGCATTTGTTATAGTAGCAAAGGAAAACCACCTCTGCAGAAAATACATTTTAAGAATTTAAAACATCTTACACATTACAAGCCAAATGGATTTCTTATTTGCACTTTGACTGGTTACCAGAAAATCACAGTGCTTTTACTGTGTGTCATGAAGTATCCTATCGTGAGAAGACCCCACGTTTTTGGCAACACCATGGAATGCGGGTTTTAAAAAAAAAGGGTTTTCTCCATGAAAATTTTTGGGATTACGAAGAACGATCAACTATCTTCTAATTTGGATCTATAGTTCCTTTGTACCATTTTAAATATATGTATATATATAATATTTTGAAATATTATATATTCTCTTCAAGAAATGAACAATACCACAGTTTGAGGCGGCTGGTGTACCTCTTTGAGTTTGGATGTTTTGTTTTGTTGCATTTCTTTTTCTATTGGCAAGGAAGACATGAGCTCTTTTGAAATTTCACCATGGCACTCACACTGGAAGGCCAGCTACAGGTGGACTCCTGGAATCTGAGGCATCATAACAATACTGAATCAAGAGCTTCCTTCTGTTTCTACCAGAGGGCCCAAGGAAGCACATCGTCCTGTTTTATTGCTTTCTACCCTGTGCAATATTAGCATGCAAGCTTGGCTTACATAACCATACTTTATATTCAATTGATATATAATAACCATTCTAACCTCTTCCGGGAAAGTATTTTTAGAACTACTAGCTTTCCCACAGATAAGAAAAATAAGAATTCTTGAAGGAGCTACTCCACCATGCTATTAAGACTCTGGCAAAACTATGGTAGAATATGGATCCCTGTATTAATAAGTTCTGTAAATACAATGTCTTAAGGCTTTGTATAGCTGTCCTAGACTGCAGAAATGTCCTCCGATTAAATCCAAAGTCTGGCATCATTAAGTACATCGTGCTGTAGCAACAAGTCTTATCATGGCACCTCTTTCTATGTTTGATTTGCTTTTTTCAAGAGTATTCAAATCTCTTCTGGTGAGATAGGAAGACCATTAAAGCAATTAGGTTTCAAAATGATCTATGTGACCAAATGCTGGACAGCCCTATTAAAGTGGTAAATAACTTCTTTCTAAACTTACTTGTCCTCTTTATTTACCATTTATTTTTCCTGAGTACGTTTTAGCCAAATCCACAGAACACCCCACTTAGAGACTCGCAGTCACCCAAAATTTTTTCCAGGACGTCTTTGCTACAATCACAGCCAATACTTCCAACCCCAGTATTCTGAAAATCAGAAATTCATTACTGTAACTGCTGTGTTCTCAGCCAGCAAGATGAAATGTCAAATCCCATTATTGGGTTTCTATACTGGTCACTTGGACAATACACAAGGGGCTCACATCCCCAAAAAGAAATCTTGTCCATCTTCTCTTTCCAAAAGTTACTCAGATGATGATTATAAAAAAGAACTATCTACTTATTAATCTAGTACTATACATTCCTGCTACTTAACCTATCATATTGCAAGTATGTCTATTTTTTCTCTAAAACTTTCTCTCTAGAATACATGTTGTTAGGGCCTCTTATTAGATCACCAGCACATTTGGTCCCCTAGTGTGGAGCTTTAAAGTTAAACCTCAGGTAATATCCAGAGGCTTCTTAATGTCTACCAGTATAACCTGAAGTCTGATTGAAGATGTAAATACTCTAATCAGAGAGATGGATTCTCCACCTTGAATGCTTATAAAAGCATCCAGAAATGGAAATGGAACCCAAATTGCAAAATCTAGACTTTCTAAATACTTTCACAAATATTTGCCAGAAGATGGCATAAAATTCATACAACCAAATCATAATCTCTTGAATTTATGGTCCATAACCACGTACCAACTAATATATTAGCAGTCGACTTTCCCATGTAATCATCAGAGTAAAAACTGAGATCATAAATGCAGTGATCTAGAATGGTACATCCCAAGATGAGGAGGAAAAAACCTCCATAATCAAATATACTGGGGGGGAAATCTTTAATAAAATAAATAGAAATACTGAGGAAATTTTCAGAACCTTTAATACACAAAATATGTTCTGTGTCTTCGAGAAAGCCTAAAACATGGGGAGTGAAGTAAAAATCTTCCCAAATCCAGGCATGTTAGGTGGTTCCTTGACTAATGGACAGTACATCCCGGCCGAATAAGAAGCTACAAGAAATGATTTCTCTGTGAGGATATGTTCACTTTCTTGTCACATCTTCAGTTTTTTCAAGAGAACCAGAAATCTGGCTTTTTATATAGAATCTCCTAACTTCTTCAATAGGATGAACTAATTTGAGATGTTTGCTATTAAAAACTCTGCAAGCATTATTATTGCCTCAAATTCCCTGATCACATAGTCTTTTCTATGAGATTAATGTTTCCTAGAATACCCTTTTAAAAGTGTTGGTCCTGAATGGAAACTCAGTGTGAAGAAAAGAATGTTTTCAATGGCCTCAGGCATACAGACCGTTCTCATAATTTACGAGATGAGGAACTCACAGCTTCTCCCATTCTGTAACCAGAGCCTGTAAGTCAATGAAAGAATTAGTCTAGAGGCCCACATCTGTCAGTTCATTTTGTAGTGGTTACTTGATGCATTAGCCTCCCTTGGAAAGGCTTGGAAGAAGAGAGAAGGAGAAAAAAAGACCACATCAGAATCAGGCAACCATCCAATAAAACAGTGCAAATATTTGTAAATGTCATCAAATTCAGTTTGGATTTATCCAGTTCCTTATACAAATGTGTGAACCATCAAGTTGTGTTTAAATTGGAACCACCCCAGGTAGGGGGATTCAGGACCTACCCCAGGCCTGCATGTGTGGTTTTAAAACGTTCATCATATATTGCTGGTAATAAAGAGCTCAGTGTGGTATGACTAATAATGATATTGAGCTTGGGCATCAAGTATGATGAAGACTGTCATAACATAATCAGAGCAAATGGGAAGGGTTTCATCCAGAACCCATCTCTTGATAAAAAGGAAAATATGGCTCATTTCATGAGACAGATTTTTGAATTAGGTAAAGCTTATTTGTGGGCTTTTTTTGCATGATTAGATTTGTCTATTAATGGATTTGGCAAGCACAGTGAGAAGTTTTACTCCTTGGCTTTTTTCCGTTATCAAATGATGAAGAATGTTTTCACCAACACACAGTTCAACATCCTTTTTTCCGATCAAATCCAGTGTAACTTTCACAAAACAATATAGTGATTTTATAGTGCAGTATATTATGCCACCTTGTCATTGTCACTAATATAAGTTATGAAAGGTATAAAAATTGTTTATATGAGGAGATCCACACATTGCTCACATGAGATATGCACTGCGTCCTGGAAGTTTAAATAGCATGTCATTATCTGAGTTTTTCTTTTAATTAAGCTTGACACTTTCATTTCAAAACCTATGAAGTTTTCCTTGACAAAGAAATGTGTCATGTTCCCTTTCGAGAGCTGTCTGTCTTCCAAATAAAAGATTTAGTGTCTAGCAAATCTAGGGCTCGAGCCACCTCCATCTAGTTTATAAATGTGAGCAAATAAGATAAAAGATGTACTAAGGAAAGTAAGGACTCAGAACTAGGGGCAGGAGTGATGGAATCAGATATTCTAGTGCCTATGGACATCACACAAAGTGATAAAATAGAATCATGTTCTATTTTAAAAAGACACACACACACACACACACACACACACACACACACACACACACCTCCAGTTAAAGATTTAAAACTTTTAGGGGTACGTGGGTGGCTCAGTCAGTTAAGCATCCAACTTCAGCTCAGGTCATGATCTCACAGTCTGTGAGTTCGACCCCCGCAATGGGCTCTGTGCTGACAGCCCAGAGCCTGGAGCCTGCTTCAGATTCTGTGTCTGCCTCTCTCTCTGCCCCTCCCCTGCTCATTCTGTCTCTCTCTTGCCTTCAAAACTAAAAATAATTTAAAAAAAAAATTTTTTTTAAGATTTAAAACTTTTAGGTTGAACAAGCCAGGTGTTTTTTTTTTCCTTATAAAAGTTCTCAGAGGCAAATAAATGGAAGTTGTAGCATGCTCACATCATTGGTCTGTATATGGCTCTCATCTATTTGTTTATTATTTAGTTTGTTTCATTTTTTAAAAAAGTGTTAAGCCTGATTTATTTGTTTTGGCAGCTAGTTGCATTATTTTAAAAAATAATACTAGCCAATCATCAAACATGAAAGCCAGGACCCCAGACATAACTGACTATTTATAGAGTAGACAAAGTACCTGGAGCCCTAATTCCCACCTATTGAATGGAGCTAGCTAACCCAAGAGTAGACTCACATGCATGTGAAAACATGCATGAAAACCTGAGGCCAGACTTGCCTTAAGACAGTGGTTGTCGGGGCGCCTGGGTGGTTCAGCCAGTTAAGCGTCTGAATTCAGCTCAGGTCATGATTGTGTAGTTTGCAGGTTCGAGCCTCACATCAGCCTCTGTGCTAACAGCTCAGAGCCTGGGGCCTGCTTTGTATTCTGTGTCTCTCTCTCGGCCCCTCCCCTGCTCACGGTCTCTCTGCCTCTCAAAACAAATAAACATAAAAAAATTAAAAAAAAAAAAAAAAGGACAGACCATTTAGCCACATTCCATGGATGAGTGATCATACATCATGAAGTGGGCTGTAAGTAGCTTCTTAGTATTAATAAAGTCTGCAAGTATTTCTGGAAAGGAATTATAATTGGCTCAAGGATAGTTCTTAGACAAGGCCTAAGAAGCATATGTGCCTATGGGAGCTAGCCAGGTAACACAAGTTAGTTAGCCAGGGTCACCTCTTAATGCCTAGGCACACAGCGAGGAGGGTGGAGATCTAACACCGCATGGTTCCAGCAGCCAGCATTTGGTCCCAGACTATTGCTGACATGTAGCCTTAGGGAACCAGGGTGGCCCAGTTCTTCTGTTTTTTATTGATTTGGGAAAATCCAGAAACTCAGAGGCTTGTATGAATTCTTTAAATTTCAGATATTTATAACCCATTGGATTTGCATTAAAAGAAAGTGGCTGAAGATTCTGTTCTGTCCATGAAATAACAGCTTGTAAGTCAGGCCTAAAATTACATTATCCTCATGGATTTGCATTACCAATCGCTTCCTCCAGTGGTAGAAAAAACAATGGAGAGAGAGTTTGTTTGAAGTTCATTGCACTTAACTTGCAGACTGCCTTACTTCTCCCCTGAGAATACTATGCGTGTAGCAAGAGACAGCAATGCTCCTTGATCGGGGGCACGCCATGGTCCCACAAAGAGGTCAGCCTCTGTCGAGAATGGAGTAAATTGATTAACCTTCTGTAGATTTCACCTTGGGGGTCACAGCTGATGTGGGAGTAACCTTTAGGAACTAGCAGGTGGCAGTATAAGGTCAGCAGATGCCAGCTGCTGGGGACGTGAGAAGCTTGTGTATTTAGTTTAAAGAATGTTACAAATTGGGTGCCCAGTCAGAATGGCCTCTTCCATGTTCCGTATAGCTCTCCCACACATGTGGATTCTTGACTTCTTTGTCCCCTGATCTGGATCCTCCTCCAGATTTAGAAACTCTGGGGGCACCTGGGTGGCTCAGTCGGTTAAGCCTCTGACTTCGGCTCAGGTCATGATCTCACGGTTCGTGGGTTCGAGCCCCGCATCAGGCTCTGTGCTGACAGCTAGCTCAGAGCCTGGAGCCTGCTTCAGATTCCATATCTCGCTCTCTCTCTGACCCTCCCCTGATCACGCTGTTTCTCTCTCTCTCTCTCTCAGAAATAAATAAAACATTTTTTAAAAAGTAAAAAAAAAAAAAAAGAAAGAAAGAAACTCTCCAAGTTTTCTTGCCCCTCCCACCATGCCATTCACCTCAGTATGGCCATTTTTCTTCTTCTCTCTCACATTTCAGGCTGACAAGGCACTGTTTCTATTGAAAAGAGCCCTAAAATTGTAAGTCAGGAAAGTCTCCCCCAAAAATTTAAGTCCTTTTTCTCTGCTTACAACCTAGAAAATCCTATACCCTCTCTCTCTCTGAGTTTTCATGTCTATAAACTGGAGATTGTGCACAAAGTTTAAAGGTTATGGGAAGACTAGGGAAATAGAGAAAATGGAAATGTTTTATAAATGGAAAGTATCAGG